CTAAATGTGTACCAAAGCGTTTCTGAAGAATGGAAGTAACATACGATATTCTGGTTATTTCCGGATTTATATTGCATCAATGCTTTAAAGTTGGAATAAGCGTGTTCGTAACAAAGGGTTTAAAAAAATATCAGAGTGGAAAACTAAATAAAGCTAATTATTCTCATTAGGCTAATGAACTGCTTTCTTCAAAATTACCTCTTTAATTTTACACAGAAATCTAAAATTTTTGCTCCACTTAAGCCAGCCTGTGATGTACTAGAACGATATAAAATCATACAAGATTATTTTCTGTTCAAAGGGAAGAAAGTTTAAGTTATTGTTTTGTAAGAAAGAAAATTTTTATTCATTATTGTTGATTGATCAGCTTAAAGTTTAGTTATTCATTCGCCGTGAGTTTTTACCACCTAATAAAACGCCAAAACTTCAGTCCACAGATCAAGGTGCAAGTCACTTTGGAAGACTTATTGAGAAAACTATAAAACGTACTTGAAAAAAAAAAATTAATGTTTTCTATGAATTGCTTGAAATTTTCCATAAATCTTCTAGATATTATTCGGTTGATTTCCAAATCTGAATTACTTTCATACGGAAGTGTGGATAGGTTTTAGCAAAAGGATAGCCCCCCCCCCTCGAAACTGGGAAAACAAGACTTAAAGCGGAATTATAAAAAAGTACAATACTGGGTACAATGAAATTGTAAATTAAGCTGAATACAACAGAGACCAAGAAACTATCATAACGCAAAATTTTGCTAGAAGAAATCATATGAAAATGGTTTCAAAACCGAACAAGAACATACGAAGTAATAAAACCGGAGGGAAATACCACTTATTATTCAGCGCTACATCAAACGGGCGAAGGGGGCTTAAATGGGCCAATCGAATTCCTTTTGTAAATTAAATGATATTGCTTTAAAAGAAATTTTAGTACTTTCCTGTTAAGGCCATAATATCCACTTTCATTGCCATGTTGGCTTATTTCTTTCCTTATGACAGACTCGATACTAAACGAAACCGAGCGATTGGGAACAGCAACAGGGAACATTCTCCAATTCCATACAAATTCCTCTCCAAACCCCCGCCGTGTGTAAGAACATAGCCTGCATTATTATTTTATTTTTACTAATAATTTTAAGACTTTTCCACACTTTTGTTGAGTTCATCGATTTTTTAGGTTAGGACGAAATAACAAAGAATTGGTTTAGTAATTACATCTCTTATGTGATTATTCCAATCAACAATACTGTGCTGTTATTCCAAAATTCAGTAACTTGAACTCCTGACACCTAAGTAAATGAGTTGTTATGCACTAACGAAAGGAAAGCGTTTCATTCAACAAACTACGTTTGTTGTTCGCACACTTCTTTCTTCCCAGCATGAGCGAAGTCGTGCTTTAGGATAGCCGCTTCTTAATCCTTGGCAAATCCTAGATCATAGATTCCATTACAGTAACAAAGAATCCATCCAGAAAAGAAGATAAATTATAATCTGGGGAAGGTGCCAAGGGGTGTATGGCTTTAACGGGAACATACACAAATTTCGAAATCCAAATTTTAAGCTAAACTAAATGATCTTTGTTCACATGATGCACTATATTTCAGCGGTGACCTTTTTCAAGCGAGTCGGTAAATACAATGACCACTAGCGGCCGAGTGGTGAAGCCGTGTAACATTGGTAGTTTGACCTGGATTCGATTTCAGGCGAATGGGCTGGCTACATGAGAGTTTTCGTGGTTTTTCTTCCGTGTATCGTGGATACGAGCCAGTTTCCTTTGTGGAACGTCTTTCACGAAGATATCCCTGTTATGGCAGATATTCTTAGCATGCTTTGCCATAATCAAATAAACCAAACCAATAAATGCAATAGCACTGTGTTGATTACAGACCAAAATCGAGTGCAATAAAAATGCTTAACAAATTATCAAGTAGAAAAACTACAGATTGCTATTGTATTAAACATGTTAGCATGTCACCAGTTAGAACAGACTTGCGGAAAGCAGGCACGATGTTCGTCGTATTAGTACTTTCCTTGATAATAATTACCTTTTGTAGTTTCCTTGATAATAATTACCTTTTTTACTTGATAATAATTACCTTTTGTAGTTACTATTTACCTGCTTAGGTTTTTTTATTTATTTATTACATGCTACTCCTTTTCTGACACTTCACGGAAAGGGAGGGATGTCCCGGGGAGGAATTTTTAGGGGAAACTCACTCGTATCCACGTTATCCACTACTAATTCTTTCGACTTGGGGTATGATGCGTAGCAACTTAATTTTTATAACTACCGCGAAAGGGCTTAGAGCATATTTTGATTTTGTTGCAAAAATGCAAAGTAGTTCATGCTAGCAGCAAAGTGATGATCCATGATACACATGAGAAAACCACGAAAAAGCCCACGCCGCACGCCCTTTCGTCGGAACTCGACTACCAGACTGAGCTATCGGTGTTCGGCGGCTTTTACCGCTCAGCACTGATGGGCTTACACAGTAAGGATCATTTCTAAGAAATCAGAAGTGTATGAGCTAGGGCAGCATAAGCTAAAACACGAAATACTAATCCTTTGCACTATGATTTTTCGTCATCAACTTTAGTTTTGACTAACTTCATTACATGCTTTGATTTAATGTCCGATGCATAGACTCAATCATAATCTTCTATCACAGGAATAAGTTTCGTATACAAGGATAATCTTTTTGTTCGAGTACCTTTTCTTTTTCGACAAATGACTTGTGGAGTAAGTTAACAAGAAAATTTACTGTTTCTCGCCTTACTTAGAATGTGAATTACTTTAGAATGTGAATGTCTTACTTTAGAATGTGAATGACCAGCAGGAGAAAAGGGAGCTTAATCAGGAAAGGATGTTCCTTAGAGAACTTTTTACAGTAAATTGGCTATATTTACATTTTGAGCAGGTAAACTAAGATATTTAGTAGTAAAACATAGTTCTAAATTGAGCTTGAAATAGAGTTACTAGTGTTTAGTGTCTTCTTTCACAGAGCCGCCCGTGTAATAGAAATAGAAGGAGAATGGACCGATTTATGACGCGCAAATAGATAAAAGTAATTTTATTATTTTGCGCATGAAATGGGCAGTGAAAATGCAAAAGTTGGTTACTTGATTAAGGTAAAATATATGACGATTATCTGCCTAGAAGAAGGGACGCCTTTGAGGAGAAATTTAAAGGAAATGGTTTGGTTTGTTAGATTACGACAAAGCATTCGAGGGCTATCTGCCTTAAGGGAGGGAGGTCTTTAAGGGAAACTAGCTCGTATACACGTTACACATGGGGAAAACCACGAAAACACCCATGCAGCCAGCCCGTTCACGGGATTCGAACCTCTTAAAGGAAATGTAATCGTATTCACATCATGCAGGAGAAATCCCGAAAACGGCTACACAGTCAACCTACTCGCTGAGATTTTAACAAAGTTCAACGATCTTCGGCTCCTGTGGGCCTGATAACATAGAAAGAATGTAAAAATGGGAAGGTACTTTTTTCTGCATTTCGTAAAGTTCCTTGTTTCATTGTTTAACTACCGAGTGCTATCAAGCATCGATAAACAGGAATAGTGTCCCTTTTTTGGGAGGGGGGAACAACTTTGTGATAGGTATATTTGAATGCTTTCCGATTACTAGTAAAGAAAATACAATGCAACAGGAAAGTCGTAGACAAATTTGTAGTTGTATAACGCCAACTTTCTAAACAAATGTTTGGAAATTAAAATTTTAACGGTAAGGTGTCTTACTACCACCTGTCAGCAAGAAGTCAAAACTGAGCGTCAAGTTAACTATAACTTACAAACTTACAAGCTTTCTTTTTGTTTACCGTTTTTTATCCGTTTATAAATATTCAGTCACTCAACATAATTTATATAATGAAAAATTGCAGGATTTCACAAATTCATACTTTGGATCCACCTATTTTAATTATCAGTACAATGCTTTGACCACATCGTTTACTTCTTAGAATACTGTATTAAGAAATTTTTTGAGAGCCCCAAAGTATTTTTAAGATCACACATTAGTCAGACAGCAGGTTTTAATGGATACCTGCATTTCGTATTCGAAAACGAAATTTTAGGAGCTTACTGTAACCAACCAATACTTCGTATTTTTAATACGCGTTACGAATTTTAAGCACGATGTCATGCTTTAAGAGCATACAACCAAAATGATCTAGAAAGTCAAACTGGGCGATATGATGTTATATATATATATATTAATGTCAGTTACGTATATTTTATGAGGCTGTTGTTCCACTGATCACCAGTTTAGAAAATACAGGTTTTCCCTCAGATCTGGAAACTTTACTGACGGAAAGAATTAGCTTACTACGGGTTTAAATTTTCTAAATCTTTTTCGGCAAGACTCCTTTCCAATTTATTTTTAATATAGAATGGAATTTCATATTCACTGTTAATTCCAAAATTTCATTTTTCGAGTTCAAGCATTTGGGAACTCGACTCAGCATCAAGTTTAATACAGAACCTTAAAAAACTACCTCCTTTTTTTTCACAGAAATTAATTTTATTTTTACATAGAAATAAATTTTAGTGCAGAGTTAAAATGTGCGCATAATTTTTATTGAAAATGTCGAAGCAACGAGTTTACACTGTATTCTTCACTTGGCAGAAGATGTTTAAACATTTTCAACTAAAATAATCAGTATTTTTGTCGAGACTAAAGATGCTGAAATACACTAGATTTCAGGTAAATTTATAGTATAAATAAAATAACGATCTCTGCAATTGAGCCATATCAGTTACAGGTTATGTTTAACAGAGCTGCAATAAGCTTAATGGAAGCTAGATTTTCTATAAGAATATGTACCAAAAAGAATAGCAATTTAGTAAATTAATTTTTAGAATAAATCTGAAGATAACCATTTTTAATCGACAATACATTCGATAGTGAAGTGAATTTAAACTATTAAGGTATATTGCTACTACTATGACGTGAGTAAATATTCAAGTACAATGGAAACAAAACCTGAAATTTATTCTTTCAGCAAACAAATTTATTGATATGCAAAATCAAAATGTGGAAATTAATAGCATGAAGTTTAACATTATGATGCATGAATATACAAATTTCTACAAACACTAAAATAAATAGCGAAAGCTCAACAATATTTTTTTGAACATTTGTATGCATAGGATCTAAATATTATATAAACGAAGCTGCTAAGAAGTACTTCAAAGAAAAAAAGTATATTTTTTCCAGTACGTCGCTACTCGTCGCCCTTGAAACGACCAGCTTATTTGCAATATACACACGGAATAAGTTATCTAGTGCATTTTTATCAGTTTAAATATCAACTCTGGAATCAAGCAAAAAAGGAAAAAAAAAAAAAATGCAGGTACATTGCAATTGGCCACTCCTCCCTCCGTAATGAATAGTATCTGACAAACAGACCTGTAATTATACTTCTTCGAAGACAGGCGATTCATTGTCAGAATAGGACTATTAAAATTTAAACATTAAAAAGTATGAATGTTAACAAAATGAAGATTGTTATTAAAAGATTTAATATATTACAAGTTTAAAGATGCCCGTTAACTTCAATCTGTAATTGGGGAACTTCGGGGAACGTTTTAATTTTGAAATGAACTAAGCTATCTAATTTTACTAGCTTTTAAATGATGCATATTACTAAATGAGAAAGGAAAAGAAATCGCACGAAAACTGTAAAAATAAGCACTTAGGTAACAGAAGTGAGAAAACAAGTCATCTAAAATATATTCATATAAACATTTAACATTTCTAAGTTCGTTCCCCTCGAATCCGACGAGCTAACTGAACGTCTCTGGGCATAATCGTAATCCTTTTGGCATGAATAGCACACAAGTTGCAATCTTCGAACAAACCTACCAGGTAAGCTTCACAGGCTTCTTGGAGAGCCATAACTGCCGAGCTCTGGAAACGAAGATCAGTGTGAAAGTCTTGAGCGATTTCTCTGACTAAACGCTGGAAAGGTAGTTTGCGGATCAACAATTCTGTTGATTTTTGGTAACGACGAATTTCTCTCAGAGCAACAGTACCTGGTCTGTAACGATGAGGTTTCTTAATACCTCCGGTTGCCGGTGCAATTTTTCTAGCAGCTTTAGTTGCCAGCTGTTTCCTGGGTGCTTTACCTCCCGTGCTTTTCCTAGCAGTCTGCTTAGTACGAGCCATAAGAAAACTAAAAACCTTCACAAACGCAAGAAATCGGTCTGGTGCACAAATTTCTGAGTACTAGCGCCCCTGTATACAGATACAGTAGAAGTCTACATTGTATATATAGTTAGGCGTCCTTTTCAGAATGTGGTAGCTGAAGTCACGTGAATAGAGGAACCAATTGGATATTGAATGATAATTTTTAAGCACCGACTGCCTTCTTGGATTGGATGAGCTTCAGTTTTTTTCATTTTGTTTTGTGAGGAATATCTGACGAAAGGTAGCTGTTTTAGTTACATCAAAGACGCGAAATAAACTTATAGTCTTTTAAAGTAAAAGTAAAGAATTTCAAAGAAATTATAATAGTTAAGTAAAAACTCGATCCCATTAAGGGGACATTAAAACTATTCGATCTGAAATGCCGTAAGGGTCATTACTCCTACATGTGCTTTTTAAAATTTTCATAAATGGAATTCTTTTATAAATTGTTGCGGTTCTATTTGTACTGGCGATGCAGTAATTTTCATCGAATTTATCAAATCTAATAGAACCATTATTTTAGTGCAGAATGCTCTACATCAATGATAAAAAAATTGGCAACCTGCGGGCCGCATACATCCTCCTAAACAATTTTACATGGCAGGCGAATGCATTTGCTTTTGCATCTGTTATAAATATGGTGCTTTTATATCTTTAAAAGCGAGAGAGATAAATTTAGAGAATGCAGCTTACTTCGCCTTTACGAAAAGAATCAGAAGAAAAATTTCGAAATGTTGGAAAGCAAACTAAGAAAAGGTGAGTTACAGTTTCTGAAATCTCGCTTACAACCACAAGCAAAATATTTTATTGAAGTAAATAAATCAAGTGAAGCAGCAGCTAACACAAATTCTGCTCTTAAGAGCTCTTGGCAAAACGATCAAAATCATTTATTGATGGTAACCCCCTTAAAGAGTCTTTAATTTGATCTTGACAAATAAAAACTACTTAAAATCGTTACTTTGTCAACCAGCACGTTAGTAGAACTTTTTAAAAGACCGCTAATGGTTTACAATGGAAGAAGAAAAAAAATATTTTACAGCATTTTCAGAAGCGACTGATAAGCACTCCGACATCACAGACATAGCACAGTTTGTTGTTTTTGTAAGAGGTGATGCTGATGAATATCGGTAGCTGAGAAATAAATGAGGGCCTGGAGCCTTTTTCAGCGGGAGGTATCGAAACACGTGAGAAAGTTCTTTGGCGGCGAAGGGAATGTCGTCCGGTGTGCATGGGATACTGGCTTTTTCCCTTAAGAGTCTTTGTTCTACGGTGTCTTCTTGAGGGTCGTCTGCAGGAAATAATGAGTTTAGTAAGACAGTAGCTGTGTTTTTTACTATATTGTTCATAGTGCTGGAGATAAGTGGTTGGACGGGAATGTGCGCTGGTTGGAAGACTTTTTGCGTAGCAATCTTGTGCAGAACACCGTGGGGATTACTGTTGTTGGAGCAGAAGTTCCGCCAGCTTGTGACTTTAGCTGATAATATGGCCTGTTTATACAATGCTCTCTCCTTGCGAAAGGCTTCTAGAAATCTAGCTTTATCGCTGTCATCTTGACGGGCACGTATACGGCGTTTGAGTGCCCGACATTTCTGTCTCTGCTGTATCAGGTCTCTTGACCACCAGGAAACTCCTTGAAGCCTCTTAGCCGCTCGTGTGGGCAGGATTTGTTCGCATTCTTGTCGTATGGTGTTAAGGAGCCGATCCGTGTATATATATGGATCTCTTCAGATCCATTAAGGTTGTCAAGTGCCAGTTCTTCAATGGTGAGGAGATTGGAGAATGCACGTATGAGACGTTTAATCTTGCTGCCCGGCCTTAAATCTTTTAAGAATAGCTATAGTTGTATCCATGCCAATAGAAAAATGGATATATATTTGTGGTCGGAGTTACTTTCGTCATCCATGACTGTCCAATCTTTAATGTAGTTGGTGATGTCGTTAGTTGTTAAAGTAAGGTCTGGCCATCCCCTATGATACGAGTTATCAAAGCTAGGCGGTGCGTTGTTGTTGTTCAGCAAATGGAGACTGTTGAGTGCTATAAAGTCTTCCAAAACAGTAGGGGTGCTAAACGCGCTACAAAATTTCAGATATTTAATTACATCTCAAATATGGGAGAATAGCTAACAGAGGCTAAGCGACAAGTTGCCAGCAGGAAGGCGAAATGGCGAAAAAAGACGTGGTTTATTCAAGTAGCATTAGGCGAGAAAAAGTAAAGCGTACTAGCTTCGATCGTATTTATAGCTATTTTTGTGTTAATCCTGAGCAGCGATTGGGCTAAAGATGTCGCAGTGCAGAGAAATTGCACGGAAAGAGTGATGTAACATGCTTCAGAATGATGCAACATGGTGTAAAGCGTATCTTTGAACGTTTTAATTAAAATTTATGAATTTAAAAGTCTGTTGCCAATTGATTCCAATTAAGTTTAATAATTTTGTTTCGTAGTTTATAGTATTTTACTCAGTAAAAGGAAACTGATAAAAATGCCACAAGTTTTCAGTTTAGCATCATGTCTTCGATTTAAATTAAAATTTTATGGCTTTGATTTAGCAATTTCGGAAAAGCATATTAATTGATGTTTAAAATTAAATAAAATATAAGACGATTTTCTTTTCTTCAAATTATTTGGAGTCATAAAATGTGTGAGTATATTTAATGTGATTAGCTTGGTAATAGCGTACGCTAAACGTGTTTCATATCTTTGAAGTAATTTATTCATTTAATAGAGCAGTAAAAATATTTTGCATTATAATTGAATTGTAAATTCATAGTTTTTTACTATATTGAATTTAAAATATATATCATTTTTATCAAAATGAAAGTTAACATTTTATGGTATTAGAAATACAAATTTAAATAACTGTTTTTGTATGCAATGAGAATTTTAATATTTTGTCAGGGAAGACTATTAAATTGTAATGTGATTAATCATTATATTTTTTAATTATTGTGAGAATGTTTTAATTAATGTTGAGAATTTCTAATTATTCTGCGAATGAAATAAATATGGAATGCAAATTAAATCATTTTGAATAGTAGCATGGAAAATAACAAAGAAATGCATTTTGACTAATAATACAGAAAATATACTAAGCGGAACTTTCAGAATTTTCGTGATGAATGTTAAAAATATCTATAATTTAAAAATTTAATAATTACAATGAAATTGAATATGCGTAATGTAATTAAAACTAGAATGGGCAAGAAAAAGGTAATTTTAAGTTATGGTAAATGAATGTTATAATTATATAATGAATAACTGAATGTAAACTATAGAGTATATTTGAGGGAGTACTGGTTCAGAAACATAAGCCTATTATTACCACCGAACAATTGCTCTTTTTGGTATTCTCACATAAGATAACGTTGAAGGCTCTCCTTTTATGACGGAGTGTAATTTTTGTATATTATTATCACTGCCGTATACGCTCACGTAAAGTCCACATTTTTTTTTTTACTAAAATTATATCATTAAAATGCAGGTGCGGATATTACAAGGGTCGTTCAAATGTTGCGCTTTTTCCCGTGAGTAATTTTAGGTGTCAATTTCATTTCAAACAGCCAAGTTAAGTTCTAAATGGAAGAAAATGGCATAAGTAATAAAATTATCAAATTTAAAGTTGTTTAATAGCTACCTAAAATTTACAAACTCACTTTCTCCCATCCACACGTATAATATAAATTACCTCGTTTACGTTATCAACACTCGACGCGTATTAGTTCGCACAGGAGCACAATATAGAGGCACAAATTAACCAAAATTTGCAATTTTAATATTTACTTTTACACAAAATTAAATAAACGTTGGTTCTTTTAATATCTTGCACACATTATTTAAAAAAAAATTCTTCTAACGCACTGTATGAAAATCCATTTCGTTTCATCATTCGCCGCAATCAGCCTCCACTCGCGTTGAATTGCGATGTAGGAATGTTTTCTTCTCGTGTCGCAGCAAGCGCTCTTATTTGGAACATTTCCCGTGTTACTGCGTACCCTTGAGCACGCATATCACGAACATACGCAACTACTCTCTTTTCTAAGTTCAGAAACTTGCATTTCGAACCACGAAACGCGTCTTGTTTTTTTACGTTGTCGCCAGTTGATTACGCTGTTTGCTCCAATTGCGCACACACCGTTTCGTCCACCTTATATACTCTTATATTTTTCTATTTTCCTGCGTAAATTCTACTACTTTCAGTTTAAAAGTATAGTTGCTGTATTTTCCCATTTCAAGCACGCCACTTGCTAATTACAACGAATTCCAAATGATACTATGAATGAAAAGAGAAAGCTTGAAATATGCGAATGCTCTAAGGAGGAAGGAGGGGAAAGTAATTTCATTACAAAACAGTATTTCCTGGAAGCCAGTGTGGTGAAAACCTGTTTGGACTGCCTTCATTTATTATCGCGTCTGCCGAGTGGATTGCTGGTGCCGATGTTATGACTGAATAACAGCTGCACCAGAATGCAAGGAAAGTCTCAGCTTTCCATTCTGGGGCCAACCAAAGACAAAACAAATGTATATTCTTCCTTTAAAGATGTTTATTGACTGATGTTGTTGACTAAAGGGAAAAAGGCGATATTAAAAAAAATATTTTTTAAAGTAACAAATTCTTTAGTTTTGGGGGTGCGGACATTGTGCGGGTCCTTTTCTTTACATAAATTTTATAAGTAAAGTTGAGGTGCGGACATTATATGTGAGTATACGGTATTTATATTATTGAATGTATTAGTGCAAGGGAATACATTCACAAAGACCAGTTACAAGGAACGGAGGCTTTTTCAAATAACTGCCATAACAACCCTTGGCCACTGGTGCAGAACAAGTACACCAGTTAGCTCAAGTGGATACACCATATTGACGGAAATATGTCTATTCAAATGTGCTGCGAGGCTTTCCAGTTTGGTAAAATAAGGGATTGCAAAAGAAAGATAAAATATTGAAACCATAATTTTGCAATATTAATCCTATATTTATGATGTTAACATATAATTTATCAATATGAAAATTAGTGTCATAAACTTTTATATGCGTTACAGGTAATTATAATGGTAATGGTTGTGCAAAAATTTGTATTTGTGATACTCTGTGAGAACAAAAACCTTCCCTGAAGATTATAAT